AACCTCATAAGTGACACCTGAGTGAGCAGGGTGTCGTATTCCCTCATTGTTTTCTCTTTTTCTCAGGTTCCTGTTTGCATTGGCCACTTCTTTGTAATAAATATTGATTTTTGTTGGGCTTTCAACGGTGTCATGGTTTCAGCTTCAGTGTGCTCTGAACTCTCACTATTACACCCTGATATTATAACATGTAAGTGCCTGAGCTGAAAGGGTTACTTTAGACTATCTCCCTGACCCCTGGGGGGGATACATGACACATGCTGTTGTGTATGTCCAAGAGGTGCTTCCATGTTTCCTCTCTACAGTAGCTATGGGGAAATTGTCTATTTTTAGACTTCCCAATAAAAGTGAGATAAGGGATAAAAGGGGGCCCTTCTGAAGCTTTAAGTGCTTGCAAGAACTAAAGACGTTGCAACTACAATATATCAGTCAATAAATTTCAACTCCTATGGCAGTATTCTGCCACCACTGCCATATTATCCCTCAGATCAGTCCTCTTTCAGAGGCTAAATTGCTACCACAGTCTAACATATTAATACATGAGAGGCTGAAAGAGATTCACAGAATCACAGAATGGTTGGGGTTGGAAGGAACTTCTGCAGATCATCTAGTACAATCCCCCTACCAAAGGAGATTCACCCAGAGCAGGTTGCACAAGGTCATGTTCAGGTGGGTTTTGAACACCTCCAGAGGAGGACACTCCATAGCCTCTCTGAACAACCTGTTCCAGAGCTTTGTCACTCTTGAAATAAATAAGGTTTTCCTCATCTTCAGGTGGAACTTCCTGTGTTTCATTTTGTACCAGTTGCCCCTTCTCCTGTTGCTGGGCACCACCAGAAAGAGTCTGGCTCCATCCTCTTGAAATCTGCCTTTCAGTTATTTGTATGCATAACCTAAGAATCTAGAACTTTTATTTTGTTTATATAAACCTGACACTGGTAATTCACAAAACACAAGTGGAGTGATGGGCATGCAGAAGAATGCAGTCTCCTGATTTTCATTTTTCATCCTGGTGGATGAAAAATCCGCAAATGAAATTGAATTATCCAATAGAGTCAGCTAACTATGCCACCCTTGGGCTGCAGAGGCGTTTGAGTTTTTGCAAGTCTACAGTCTTTTCTTTTTAAAGAATGACTATATGGAATAGGCAGAAAACCAAATTATATTGATAATTCTAATTATAAGTGGTTTTAAGCAATGTGTTTTAAAGAAACTATCCAAAAAAATTAAAAGGGAATTTTTACTAACGCCTTTTCTAGCTTAGCTAACAGCCTCCCTTCAACTTCAGTAGGGGATCTGCATGCTCTAGGACCTATGGCACTGCATTGTTAGTCAATGTATAATGACATTCTGACCTGAAGGAGTTTTTTTTTTTCCATCTGAATTCCCCAAAAGTAACTCTGCCATTTGGTGCTGGGTATAAACAGATCATACCAGAGGTGTGTGAAGGAGGAGCTGTGTAAAGATCTGGATGTGTCTGCAAAGATCGTATGGATGTGGCTTCTGGTATGGAGGGGTGTCTGGGGTGCTGGGAATTTGCCTGGCATCCCTAGCTGTGGTAGGCAGGCTAGGGATGTACAGCCCTTAAAGCAAATCAACATGGTCACCCATTATCACATTGCTGTGCCCATAAAAACGAGAAACTCATCACTGCAGACTTTTTGAGGCTAATTGCTGTTCTATTGTTTGGACTGTCTGTACAGGTGCATTTTCCTACACCAGATGTCTCTGGGCAGAACAAAGATGTAAACACAGCCTACTTGTAGAGTGGATATCTGTCATTTTCTTTATTCCTTATTTCATACTACTTGCTTTCTCTTCAGCTGCTTATACAATTTTCAAAGGCTGAAGCCCTTAGGCTGATGGTGTAATCAGGAAGGAATGATGTCTCGCTAGTGACTTTTATTTGTGTAGTTGATAATTACTACCTGCAGCACCTCCTGAAGTCTGCTGGCTTTTTGTGCCTTGCAGAAGTTCTGAGAAAATGGTTTGGTAAAAGGTTTGGAAATGGGACTCTAGGCAAAGTTAAATGTACAAATAGGCTTCTAGAGTCTTCATCTATATTTTATGTATTGCGACAATTCTCAAATTCTTAATCTTAGGCTAGTACAGCTCCTATGTACTGGGTGCCTCACAAATGCAGAACAAACCAAGATGCTCTTTCTTGATGTATTTACCACCCAGGAAGACAGATTTTGCTTCTTCATTTTTCTATCACTTTAGTTAAGAATTTTAAAGAATGAGTAAAGGATACACCTTTAAAATTGGTGCACAGATTGGAATCATGCTCAAGTAACCTGTGCAAATTCAGTGGTACTTATATACCCCAGTGGACAACTACCTTGGTTTAAAGCTATTCATTTCTAATAGACTTTCTCTGACTTATAACTGCTACAGATTTTGCTCTTGGAATGAATCTAGTTTGTGCTAATGGCTGAGATTTAAAAGGAGCCTACACATATTATTTTCCAAAATCGCATTACATTTTAATAAGATTTCTACTTCTAATGTACTGTGGTCTCTCGAAAAGCTCAGCTTGAATTCCCAGTTTCCACACTGCTACCACTAAATCAGCTCTGTGGCAATTCCTTCCAGAAAGCTCAGTGTTAATTTTTATTTTTGTTAGCAGCTCCTCTCCTGCATTTCAGTGGTTTAGGACTTTGTTGACTTGTTTTTGTGCTTCGTGTTTTTTTTATCATCCCTGCTGAGGATATCTCCAAATATAGAGTGACACTCATACCTGACACCATGAACATGAAAACTGATGAGTCACAGCAGCTCCAATTTCTCACCTGCATCAGCGATGGAGAAATATCTTGCTAGGAATAACCATATTCTTTATAGTCAGTTTTCCCCACTCCTATCACCCTGAGTTACAGACGTTTTCTAAACTGAACATTTACAAATGCAAAAAAAAAAAGGCTTCAAGATTTAAATAATAAAGAGACAATCAAGGCACACTGTCCATCAGCCATCACCAGAGCTGTCCGTCTACTTGGCCTTTTTCAATCAATTGGAATCCTATTTCCCTTTGATCACCAGCCATAGGTGGGATGCAGCCATGAGATGGAGGAGGATGCTGCAAAGTCTGATAAGACTATTGCATCTCACAGGCACTACATGCAGTAATATTACCAGGGGTAAAAATTCTTATACTTCCTTTATGTTCCCCTTATATCCCTACCAATTTGCCAGGGAAGTTGTTTCCAACTGTTTTGAGGCAACAGGCTGTGGTCAACCTGTAATGTATTTCTCACAGGATCTCCAGCACTTCATAGCCAGACTTAGAGTGTGGGAGTTGGGGGAGCTGGGGAAGATGCTGTGCCTGGGAGCACCAAGGTTTATGGTGGCCTCTTGCTATTATGTTCACTGACACTCTTCAGGAGCTAATGACTGGAAGATAGAGGGGGGAATTTTCAGTTGAAGTGGTTCCTCTTGCAGTAGGGGAGTGAGGGTAGAGTTCACAGCACATAGGACAGCAGATCTGTCCATCTCTTTGGAAGCAAATTGTACCTGTGAGAATTTAACTGGTGTAAAAATCCTCCCTAACTATATGGTCAACAACAGCCTCTTCCAGGGAATCTATTTTCTCACTAAAAGTTAGTTGTCTTTAGCAGTTATTCCTGTCTAACTGCCAGAGAACCTTTGCATGCATCCCTTGTTTTGAATAATATGATAAAATGTATGGGCAGCTCAGGTTCTGTTGTGCTTGCAGCATCTTTGATGAATACACATACAGATAGATGCTTCTTGTATTCATTCTGAAATATTTCAGAAACCTTATCTCAGCGGGAGACACTGGTTTCCTCAGAAGCACTCAGCTGAGCACTTCTCGGTGGGATGTTGTCAATGCTTCAAGTTATGATGCTTGGCTCAGGGCTCTGCTCAGCATTGTGTGGCCTGCAATTGACAACAGATCTGTTCATGTTTCACCAAGATTTCTTTTGCACTAAGCGCCTTGTAAGGTGAGGGGAACAGTTCAGAGCCCTTGCCCTCTCATAGGCAGAAAGGGACAGCTTTGGAAGCATGTGCAACCTTGTCCCAGGGAGTGCCCTCTTGGCCATTAGCTTTCACTGCCTATGCTGGGGCTGGATGCTATTACACCTGCATATGGGGCCACCTCAGTGAGGGTGAGCTTCTCTGCCAGAGGGACATGATTTGTGTCATTTCAGAAGTAAGTATACTGACAAGTTTGAATCTACAGTGTTATGGAATGCTCCATGTGTCCAGATTACTTTCTAGGCTTGAGGACTGCCGCTGACCCCTGCTAAAGCCTAAGGGCTGGCATGGCAATGGTGTCCTTCTCTTTCTGCTGCTTAAGCCCGCATGGACAGGGCATGAAGGCACTGGTCCAGGCTGGTGCTATCCGATGGGATTGACACTGGCTCCCTGCCACAGTCCATCCGACCGCTGAACCAATTTTTGAAATATAACTCTATGCTATCAGATTAAATTAGTGTCTTTCCAATCTAGGAAATCACACTCTTGGAGGTGGGGAGGTAGATAAGTGACTCCCTCACAAGGATCCATCCATCCTTTCCCATTGTCCCACCTCCCACCTTCTCCCTCTAGGGCTGAGGGAAAGCTCATAGTGCCAAGTTGGGAGGCTAAGGACAATCACCTCCAGGGGAGCCAACAACAATCTCATAATGACACAAGAATGGATCAGGCTGTCTATCTTCCAATTAAGGACATAAGTAGGGCCTTACATTTCCAGCCCACTACTTCTGAACTCTTTTTAGCCTGATTCTCACAGCTGAGAGGAGACTAGGGATGACAAATTCTGCTTGAACCCATCTTCAGTGTGTACAAAAGAGAGTCAAAATGGTGAAGAGTGACCAGACTCACATTTGCAGCAAGGAGAGCTAGCAGTGTCTCTTCAGTGCAGAGTTGTTAGAAACCACAAGAGTTTCTGCCTTGTGCAGTGAGCTGTGTGGTGTGTTCTCAGTATACAGTGAGCTGTGTTGGCTTGTCAGTGATATTCCTGCTCTTCTGCCCTTACTATGATGTCTTCGTCCAGCAAGAAAATAAGAGAAGACTTTCCAGGTAGGTGTTTTAAAGTGTTCTTTGCATTTCTGCGCACATGTTCAGTCCTACTGTGGGGATAATAAAATGTGAATAGAAAATTAACATGATTGTATATGTTTCATTAAAAACAAACAGCAAGATGTAAAGATCACCTCTCACAAACAGATTTAATTCAGATCCTATAGCAAGTAAAATCTACTACATTATATTTGATTTTTCTTCCTAATTGTACAAGCTTCTGAAAATTGCTTCACTAAAAATCAAAAGTCTCATATGCTTCTTCTTTCTGGAAAATGATCTCTGCATTCATTGGGCTAATCATACTAGAATTATTTATAAATTATACAAATATACCTAAGACTCTGCATAAAACTTAGTGAAAAATATGAATTATGTTTTTAATATGAAATTTAAGGGGGCAGAAGAGGAAAAATAATTTAATTATGAAAAAAGATATATGTTGGCTTCTAAAAAAATGTTAAAGTATAATATTTAGGAGAAATTGTGTGTGTTTTTTCCCCTGCAGATAATACCTCTGAGGTAGAAGCCATTGATCAGCTCCTGCAAGCTTTTGTGGCTGTGGTGATGAGAGAACTGTATAACAACCAGGCTCTTTTGAGCATGATCTGTAACACTGTCATCATCTCTAGCTCTCTGCTTTCCTCTTTGTGGTTTTCCTGCCGCCTTGCTTTAAAGCACAAGGTCAAGACTGGAGTTGTTTGGTTACTGTCAGATATTGTGCCAAAAGAAAAATGTGTTACTTTTTTAACTTTTATTTCAAACAACTGTATTCTTTAAAGTTCATCCTTTTTGCCATCAACCGTGGTTGCAGACAGCCAGCTGATTGTCAACAGTTTCCTATGGCATTGATTCATCTCTCAGTGTCTTTTCATTTTTCCATCAAAAGTATTTGTAAGCAAAAAATGTTGACCAGTTCTATTGTACTCTCTGAAACATTAAAAGAACAGTGGGTATGAGCTGTCATGTCCTCTTTTTTTCAGCTTTTGACCATAGCTGAGCTCACTGATTAGAATGCAGGTTTTGTACTATCAGATGAATATAGGAAAAAAATTGGAATGCCTGATGTCACAAGCAATTACTCTGAGAAAAAGAGTGAGAAAAATATTAAGGATATTAAATGTAGCTGTCTTTGGAAGAAATCACTCAAAATCATAACAATACTTTCTTTGAGCTATAAGAGAATTGTGATGCTGTTGCACTGGCAGTGGCATTTTAGATCAAATCAGGAGTGCTATTTAAACCTGAGTCAATAGTTCCCCTTCACTGTACTTGGGTCACCTTATGGAAAGGTTTTTGAGTGCACATACAGGAGTCTTTCTGGATGGCACAGGACCAGGAAATATTTCCTCTGAATTCACCAGTATCTCTGATGGATGTTCAACCTTGGGGCCAACTGGATCTAGTCTGAGGAAAATGAAATTTCCTTGAAATGTGAGCAACATGAGTGCCCCACTGCTCAGCACTACAGCACCAGTGCTTCTTCTGCGCAGGCCCATTCCAAGGCATTGTAGACAGAGCCTGTGACTGAAGAAAGGTGACAGGAAATCAGCCAACATTGTAATGTTTATAACTCAGACACCTACAGTGAGCTATTCTATTCTATTCTATTCTATTCTATTCTATTCTATTCTATTCTATTCTATTCTATTCTACAGTGGCTCATCACATTCCCTATAAAACCTCAGTGTCTTCCAGTAGCACATTAGGTAATATGAGTAACATTTGTCAACATTTACGCAGAGGATAATCAAGACCTCATTGTTTCCAGGCTCTCCAAAACTGAACAAGAAGCTGTAATAATGAAATTCTCTTATTGATTCAACTGATCAAATTGTATTTGCATTAGTAGCACAGAATAATGGGAGCACATTATAACCAAACAACTGATTGGTAGTGTAATGCTGTTCAGAATATGAATACATTATCCTTTCATGCATTTAATATTTCCATTAATCACTAACTTTGTGCCATCTTCAATTTTGCTAAACAGCCTTCAAGCTGGGAAACTTGAAACTCTTTAAATCTACTCTTATATTCAGAAATCCACTTAGACTACCTGATAATATGAACTTTTGCTTTTGAATCAGACTGAAAATCAACATGAGATAATGCTTACATTGGTATTCTTCTTCCCTATCTTCTCTTGGGACATTGCTTATTATTTGTTCCCTTAGCAGAGAAACAGGACTTGGCAAATGGAGAATTTCAGCCTTTTCACTCTACAGTGTACTAATGTGTTCTCATTTCCAGACTTAGTTCTGTTGCATCATGAATATTCCTGATGCAGGGAGCCCCATACTTCTCCAGGCATCAAACAAAAGATGAAAACAGCTGCTTCTCTGTCCCAAACTTCCCAGACCTCAGCTGCTACCAACTACTGAAAGGAAACTATTTTCTTTTTGCACTATCCAATCTCCAGGACATACCTCTAAGAAACAAGACAAAAATATATGAGGCAATGAGATACTCCTAGTGTAATATTTTGTAATTAGGCACACTTGCACTTTTGGAAGAACAGATGCTGACATCACGTCAGACAGACACATGCAGCACATAAAATGTGGTGTGTGATCAACAGGTATCAGCAAGGTTAATAGAATTGAAAATGCAAATACAAAGCCCTCCAAAGACCAGCATAGTTCTCCTGAGTGTTACAAGTGCTTAAATCTTGCTGAAGGTAATTGGAGTTGAAGTACCTCTGCATTTTTCAGAAGATCTAAAACATTTATCTTCGGATCAGATTCCTTTTGCTAAGGGAAACTGTCCCTCTTTTCTGTTCTTGGTAACTTCTTTGGTTTTGTCCCAGATTTCCTCCCTCTTCACCTTAATGTCTTGAAGACAGGTTTGCACATTTTGCTAAATCAGTGGGCAAGATCAGAACAAATGACAGATCAGACCATATGCCAAAAAGTCTGTCCAATAGTCACTACTATAAAAATACATCTATAGCTTTTTGGTTGATGCTTCGCAATAATTTTTTTCAAGGTTACAATTTAGTTTTTTGACAGCAGCAGTCATATATTATATCTTAAAATCCCACTCATGTATTCACAGATATAGTGAGATTCCAAATTATATCAGTCCATTGAGTTAAGAGCTAACATAAGTGTCTGCTGACATTGTTGGAATGCATTGTAATTTCCTTCAATATCAGAAAGATCATGAAGAAACACAGCTCTAACCCTACGAAATTGCTTGTGAAACACATTGATTTTGTCTCTGTTCTGGAATGTGTATGCCAGTGCACCCATTAGAGCAGAAGCAAGCCTTGCCAAATAAGCACTAAATACCTGAAAGAGCCATCCACGATGTCCAGTCCAGCTTCCTCTGGTACTGGTTGGCACAGCAATTATGATCAACCTGCAAATTTAACTCAAATTATACACAGTATGGAATATTTATAGAGATTTACTTGTTTGTAGAAGTGTTCCTGAGTTGAATAGAGAAATTTCCATTAGGAAGTCAGAGAACACTGTGTTAAGAAATTCTGTTTCTCTGATATGAGAAGTTTTATTTTTACCTCCTGCACAGATCACTGAGCTCCTGAGAGTCTTCTTGCATCTGTGCTCAAAATTCTTACTTGTTCTTGCTACCCTCAGGTAGAATTTGCTACCAATTGTCAAATCACAAAGTGTATGTGGACGTCAAGGGGACCCCACATATTATTTTTTCTTTTTGAGGGAAGCACCACAGCTTTTACCCATGAGAAAGTCAACACACATCTCCTCTCTCAGTATGTGACAATAATGCAAATTTAGACACTACTCATAAACAGAGAAGAAAACTCTTTAGTTGTTGTAGAGAGTTCATTTGTGTCACCTACAAATAGGCAAGAATGTGTCATCTGTGCTCCCTTATGTTGTTCAGACGAGACGTAGAGTCTCTTTTTTTCTCCTGTTGCTTGTTTTTACCTTAGTAATATGAAAACCGTAAAGCTGAGGCTGCCCTTGGTTGTTTGAAAACTTCTAAGTTCTCAGGAGTGAACCAGTACTTGTCTGTCTTGCAATTCCCCTAACTTGTCTTTTTCATGTTTAGTCAGACTATTGTCCCAGTCCCACAGTGAGCTGCCTGTGAGCAGATGACTGCTTCTGAATGTAATTCAGGTGGGGAAAGAGCCTGAGAATTGCCTGCTTTCTACCATGTCCCAGAAGATTTGGGGTGTTCCTGTTTCCTTGTCTAGAAGAAAGCAATAACATGGTGACTGGCAATACATTTGGTGGATCCTATTTATCAGTTCTGTAACAGAAAGCATTAAACCCAGCAGCTTTTCCAGGATTCAAGCCCAGAGCAATGTAACTGCTTCCAGGACTGGCTCTGGTAAGAGCAAGTAAAAGCTTCATGGCTACATCCATGGTAAAGAAAAGGCCTCCAAGAGTGTAATATTGGCATATGTTGATGCTTATCTTGATAATAAATATGTAATTTTGCATTTTCTGACAGAAAAGGTATTGAAGGTGCAACAACTAAGCATGCATTCAAAAATGAAACAAATTATTTTGTGATACCAAGCATCATCACCTGGCATTTCAAACTTGAGTGAAACAAAGGAAATGCTGAGTTGTTAACGCAGAGTTTTCGCTCAATAGAGTTCATAATTCCAGTTAAATGGAAATTACAAAGATAAAAAAAAAGACTGTTTCAAATAGAAATAAGAAACATTTAATTCTTTCTGAATCTGGTTTAATTTCATGGAGCATTGTTTGTGATAAATTCTGTTTTGTTTCCAGCCATCTACAGAATCATTCATGAAGCACAGGGCAAACAAATTTCAATTTGTTACCTGAGAAGAAAACAAAAAAAAAGAGTAAACATAGAAAAAAATCTCTGTAGTTTTTCACTCATTGAAGATAAACAAAATAGGGTGCAATATCTCCTTTGACTTCTGAAACCTCTTCAGCTATGTCAGTACTGATGGGCACAAGCTTCCAGGTCCTGGACTCCCCCGAGCTTCAGGTTAGCCAAATGCAGACCCATATTGCAGTTGGATGGGTGGGCAGCTGGACCAACAGGGTCCCAATATCAGTCAACTGTTCTGTTGGTATTTCCAGGTAAGCTGTTATGAAGCTGTGTTACACAACTGGTAATAATGACTTTTCACTCTGCATCAGATGCTTACTAACTGGCCTCTTGCCTTTGTCAGGTCTGTAACTCAGAAAAGTAAAAACAGCTTTGTGAAGGAGGGAACTGTGGCCAAAATTCAGTGAAACATTTCTGAGCATGTCTAAGTTGAAGTGCACAACTTAACCCAGTATGCTTCAGGAAAGCATGAGCTTACTCCCTTCACTGCATTGCACTTTTGTGTTTAGCAGACAAAATTTAAGCATGTTGTGCTCCAGCAGGTTATGGTGAAGAAGGATGATGATGTATCTTAACAAAAGATAATTATGCTTACAATGAAGAAAAATGGGAAGACAGTTCTTGCTCCAACATGTGTACTTCAATCTGTTAAAATGTAGTAAAAATAGACCACCTGTTTCCAGGCTGAAGTTCTAGTGAAATTCTCCTCCAATATTTTGACACCTTGTAATTTGCATTTCTCTTTTCCTTTAAAAAACTCACAACTCTGGATATTGAAGCAAGCTAGCAGCAAACTTCTTATGGCTTTTGGCAGCTTGTATTCCAGATGGCCTGGACAAAACCATAAGATATTATATAAAAGATCCAATTCTAGAAGTTAATGCATGGAGAATATTTCAGGTCATGATATTAAGTTGTTTACCAGGGCATGTGTAGTGTCTCCCTAGGCTGATATCATCAAATGCTAAACTCTTGGTAGGTTTAATCCACATTCATCAACTTTACTGCTTTACTTAGAGCAGCTGTCTTGCTCTCTTAATACATGCTGCTAACCAGATGGTCTCAGAAAACACAACCATATGAAGTTTGATCCCACTTAATTCTTAAACTCTTCGTGGCTTGCACCTTTTTAGTTTTGCATCAAAAAGAGGCATAATTGAGTAGCAGTTGATTCAGTCCACAATTCTGCCCTTGATATCTGTGATTGAGACAAGACAATGGTGTCTCTAATACAGCTTTAAAAACCTGTTTGAAAGAGAGTTCAGCTGTGCCAAATAATGAAGTATTACAATGTTTTATGTGTTGTTATAGCATAAGAATCCAATGGAGGCTTCTGAGGATCAAAGGACATAAAAGTATTGTTGAGCTTTTCATATAAATGACTGCAATATGATCCTTTTAAAAAAGGGACTTCTATGTCACCTAAATTATTACTTTTCTGAGGGATCTTCCATATCTGGGTAAGGAGGAGTTATGAAAATAAGTGTATAGCTTTTCTCCCTTCAGTGCCCATGGGCTTCTTTATACTAAGAACTAATTTAAAAAGACACAATTCTGTTCAATACACAAATCAAATGTCAGGCCAGGGTACTCCTTGGTCTCGGGACTGAGAGCATCCTTTCATTGGGATGAATCATATTTGCTATTCTGAAGCTGATAGGATAGGCCACACGTTTGCCTGTAATTTGTCAAAAAGCTGTGATAGACAAATGGATAGTTAGAGGTGAAGGCAAGCAGTAACCAGAAATTCTGCCCTACCTTCCTCTATCACTGCATAGCATCTAATTCCAGGAGACAGCTTCTGGTGGTTTGCAGGTGAATGTCACCTACAGACATGAAACTAATCAAGCTTAGGAAATTCTTCTAGAGTTTGGTTTTGGTTGTTGTTTTTTTTTTTCCCCCCGCACCTTGGAGATCCTGAGAAGTATTTAAAAGTAAAAATGTGAATTGTCAATTTTCAGAGGAAAATATTTGAAGGGAATATTTGGGTTTTTTCTCCTTTTGATCTGTGATGTGTGCAGTGATTCATGCACAGGTTTGGAAGTGTCAAGAGCTCTTCCACAGATGTCTTTGTTTCTGCAGAAACAAACTTGTAATACAATTGGCACCCAGGATACCATCTTCCTATACTACTTAAAAAAATAATGGAATCAGGGGCAACATTAGTCATATCCCTGCAGGATTTCTTGTGGAGTAACCTCATTTGCATCAGTGAAGATACTCCTGATTTATGCCAGCAAATGTGATTATAGAATGAGGTCTTTTTGCATTAGTTGAGCATCCTTCCTGCCAGGGCACCAGTTCTGCAAGTGATGTTTTACCTATCCTGGGTTAGATGTACAGTCATCAACTGTCCTACTGGTGCTGCAGCAAGAAGTTTGGGTGGAAATTCAATCTCTCCTACAAGAGCTGTGCTGAGGACTGCTGAAATGAGCCTGAACTCTTGGAGTTCAATTCACCAGCTGTTTGTGAGGGGATACTGTGGTGCAGGATCATATAATGTAGCCTCTGGAAAGGGCTGTGTCCAAGGTACCTGGGGTTTATCTTTAGAGCATGGCATTTAGGAGGAGCATCTCACATATATTTCCTTCAGTCTCATGTGTTTATTCAGTCATTCTTTAGGACTTCTTTCTTTGTGATGAGGACTGTGTCTGTCCTGTGAAACCACGTTCACTCTTGGACACGCTGTAATCGTGGAGCATCTTTGCCTCACAGCCATTTTGTTGAACATCTTTCTGCTTTTATAGCAAAAACATCAGAAAGCCTCAGCTACCTGCTTCCACAGTGGGTAATGTGAGGACACATGTGCATTTGACATTTCAGTCTAATCCAATCTATGTAGGTATGCCTCATCCCCTGTCACAGGGTAGTGAATTCACTAGAACTGCTTCTGCAGGAGTAAAAGGCTGTGCCTTGTGTGGTTGGAACAGCATGTGGGCAGCCTTGGGGGATAAACATCCACTACAAGTCTCAAGTGCAGATCTGAGGGTTGGTCTTTTGTGTGGGTTGCACCTATAAGAAGTTATGAAAGACAACTGCAAAGGGGGTCTATCATTTTTACCTTATTTCCATCCACTAGAATGACTGAGCCATATGTACAAAGGCCACCGAAAGGACAAACACAGCCCTTAACAACGTTTTACCCTGCCCTTTCCCTATCTTACCAGCTCTGATCTGCCCATGACTTTATCAAATGTGTCTGACCTTGGGCAGCTCCCCTTTGACAACCTAGATGTCTCAGGGACCAAGCTCTGGACTGGAGACCAGCTGGTGCAGCATGGCTCATGTCCATGCATATGACCTCTAACACCACCACCCGTGGTGGCCACATCTAAACTCTGTACCCAGAGCCCTCCCTAGTCCATGCTAACCCTTGGCTGTGTCTATGGTCAAACCACCCTGGGGAGTATGGGACAGCTCTGCAATATGGGTGGCCATGAGCTGGGGCTGAAGTCCATCTCCCGGCCCTGTTAGCCTGCAAGAAACACAGGAGGAAGAAAGAAATGGAGCCCTAGGAATGGGACTGTCCTACTCCTGCTCCACTGGGTCCTGTTCCAGCTGCTTGGGAAGAGTTTAGGGTGAGCACCGAAGACATGGAAAAATGGGAGTAGTAGAGAGCCCTCACTGCTTCCCCAACCAGCCAGTGGGGTAGTGGCAGAGGGCTGCCTGAGGGTAGTCTGTACACAAAGGGACACATGTTCTGCCTCTACCCCAAGCCAGGCTGGCTGGTGCCAGGGGTGCAGGAGCAGGGTGCGCACACAATGGGGGAAGAAAGGGAGCGGGAAGTGGTGAGGGAGACCAGAGAGCATCATGCTCTGATGACACTGAGGCAGGGGCAGAGCAGGTGTAGAAGACACTCTGAGACATGTACCTTCCTTAATCTGTGCTGCTAACCCTCTCAGTCCCAGCTTCTTCCTGGGGTGTCCTTACTAATGGCTCAAGGGAAGTGCTTCATAGCACAGGACCACAGACCAGCCAGGCCATTACACATAAAACATCTTCCCTCCCGTAGTGCAGTCCCAACTCTTACCTAACAGCCAGCAAGAACCTGGATGTACCTAGTCAAAATATACCATGGTTCCCATCCATGTCACCATTTCTGACATGCTTTTTGTGATGGAAGCAGTTGACCCACCACCAGTCTGCTGTTTATTAATTGCCCATGGACAAGGAAGACTGAGCTATTGCAGTTGTCTTTGGAAATAGTGATTTCACTATCTGGTTGGTTTTTCCAACAGAGCAAGAAAAATTGTAGGTCACAAAGACACTGGTTACCTGAGATCAGTGACCATAGCCAACAGTGAACTGTGTGGGAACTTCCACTGCCTAGATGAATGCAAAAACACAGTGTACAGAGAAATACTTTAGATTCCAGGTGTTTTTTATTCTCTGTGGTTTTGTAAAGATGAATGATGTTCAATACTGAATAAAAATGGATTTTCAACCAGTTTAGAGAAAATGGAAATTCTCTGTTAACACTGCCAACCTACGTTTATTCAGCTAACACTGTTCTTGAAAAAACTGTCAGACATGATTGTCATTGGAATCAAAGTAAATAAAGAGGATGCCAAATTTGCCTTGAAAATCCCAGCAATTGCCTATGTATCTTTTATTTGATGGGCAAGGCAGGGAAAATGAGAAACAGGGTATTAAAAGACAACAACAGAGAGACACTAAGATAGATAAGAAAAACTAATTAATGTCACTGCTGAATAATAGGAGATTTGAAGGAAAATACATATTTTACTTTACAGGATGATTTGATCTCAGTACCATTACAAAGAAACTCTCATCTGCTACTAATGTTCTTCTACATTTCAAAGATTATTAATTATATGAAAGTGTAAAAGAAAACGTATGAATCAGGTTAGTCAAAGTTGTGGTTTAACCCCAGCTGTTAACAAAGCACCACACAGCCACTTGCTCACTGCCTGCCTAGCAGGATGGTGGGAGGAGAATTGGAAGGGTAGAAGTGAGAAAACTCATGGGGTGAGATAAGAACAGTATATTAATTGAAATAAAATAGTCACAGTAATATTAACAATAACAACAACAACAATAACAATAAATGTTCTGAAAAAGAAAAAAATGAAGAGAAATAAACCCCAAGAAAGACAAGTGATGCAAATGAAAACAGTTGCTCACCACCAACTGACCGATGCCCTGCCAGTCCTGCAGCAGCTGGCCCCACTGATCAACCTCCCTCCCAAGTTTTATTGCTGAGCATGATGCCGTCTGGTCTGGGACATCCTTTTGATCGGTTGGGCTCAGCTGTCCTGCCTGTGTCCCCTACCAACTCCTTGTGCACCCCCAGCCCAGTCTCTGGTGGGGTGAGGTAAGAGGCAGAAAATGCCTTGGCTCTATGTATAAGCCTTGCTCAGCAGTAACTGAAATATCCCTGGGTAATCAACACTGTTTCCAGCATAAAACTGAAACACAACCCCATACCAGGTACTGTGAAGAAATTTAACTCTATCCCAGCCAAAATTAGCACACTTCAACACAAGTTGCACAGAAAATAGGAGGGTACACAGGGATTTCAGTGTGCAGTTGAGCTTTGATCAGTGTGTAGTGATGATTTCTAAAACACAGCAGCATGTCTACCAACACTGGATGCAGGATGCCAAAAGCAAATGCCAGACATCCTCAGTCTTCAGCTTTACTTTTAGGGAATTTATTTTTCTCAGAACATTATTTCTTACACATCGTTGCCCAGGTACACATTCTCAAAGTCAAGCCCAGACTATTTCTCACAGGACAATACAAAAAACAGAGATGGATTGCAGGGTAACAACAACATATGCATGGGACTTCGGACTTTGCTACACCTTTTAGTAACAACTGTAATGCTCTTTGGGCCTGGGAGAGTATGACTTGTAAGAGGCAACTTTTTGTTTCTGCCCTGACTGTCCCGGCTGCAGGGAGGTGGAGTCCTGAAGAGTTACAGAGTCACAGAATATTCTGAGTTGGAAGGGACACAGAAGGATCATCAAGTCCAACTCTTAAGTGAGTGGCCCATACAAGAATAAAACCCACAACACTGGTGCTATTAGCATCATGCTCTAGCCAACTGAGCTAATGTCAACATGAGTTAGCAGAGATGGGCATGTGAAGCTGGTAACCTGCTCAGCTAATACTGTCAACTCCAGGAAAAGAATACATATAGAAAATGAATAGATGATAAATCAGCAAATCACTTCCACTGGTGGACTCTAGAAAATGAGCATTTTTTGGCAGATACCACATAGTTATTGTTGTACTAATGGTATTAGTCGTGGTGTCTCAAGTAGCACAGAGTAGCCCCAAGCATTGGCTTTCTGGTACAACCTATTTACTGCTTACTTCGTTTACTCCAAACTGAGTACAGCAGAGCACAGTTTGTTTTCACCTACCTGTGTCTGATTATTTTTTTATTAATCAAATATCTGCCTGATAATTCTGCCCTGGTGTCTTGGGCTAGAAAACTAAACAGTCGGTCTTCACTAGGTGTGGAAAGTGGGAACCACTGGCAGACAGATCTGAGCAGGCTCTGGGAGCACTCCTTCAGCTCTCTGCACCTGCAGCAGTCACTGCTGTGAGGATCTGCTCTCAGAGTCACTTGAGTGACTCGGGTCTAGGGTTCCTAAGGCTTCTCTAATAATGAGAAATACTATATTTGCCACTTATACATAATAACTTAAAAAAATATTTTAAAAGCCCATGGTTCTAAAAGGAGGGAAATTCTTGTTCTTCAACCACCTTCAGCCAGGGGATAGGTCAATGTATGCATGCTTTACTTTTCTTATGATGACTTACTGTCAGCTCCTCAAAATATTTATCTAGATTAATAGTTTAACGTTCTCCTTTTTTTTCCGGATTACTCCATGTTTCTCTTTGTGAAGAGAAATAGTAGCACTGAAGTGGAAGAGTTTCTTGTGAAGCACTGGGATGCCTGAATCAACAGAAGATTGGAGACAAGTACCTGAAGGACTGCAGGAAGGAAATATTGTAGTATATAATTTATTACCCAGAGGCTGAGGAGCTAACAGCTTTGAAGAACCAAGCAGTGTCTGGGTCTGAGAAAATGCTGCACAAACTGAGTTCAGGAAGATTTTCTTTGCTGAAGTCCAAGCACATTGTGCTATTCATAGATGTTCATGTTAGCTGTTTCTTGCCTTCTCTAATGTTTTGGAGATGTTGTTCTTTATAGGAATGCCCTCACTGACAGAGGAGCAGGATATTTGCTGTTCTCTTCACATAGGGGTTGGTCCTATTACGGTTTAAAGAAGTGTCTTCAATGCAAGAACAGAATCCTGCTGAGTAAGTGTTCCTGGCCACCAGCTGCCCATCAGGGCTGTCAAAAGGCACTGTCTCAACTAACAGTTCTGCAGATACTTACTGAGAGGAAAAGGGATCATCCAAGCTGCTCTGCTGATGGCACAAACCCTTCACAGCATCAAACCACAAACTAAAACAGACTACTTCTATTACACAGTGTTTTGAATTTAGTCTGTGCTAGTAAACTCTTTAATATGCAGGACTTACCCTCTAGGAGTGCCCAGCTTTCTCCGCTGACTGCAGAAGAGTTCAGCAAGACTAGCTTTGACTTAGCATGTAGATAGCTGAAGTTCAGCAAAATTAATTTCCACCCTCAATGATTGTTGGGTAATTCCAGTCAAAAATTTCCTGTCATACTTCCCAAAAGCATTTCCTTTGGAAGACATTCACCAGATAAAAATCTGGTATTACTTGTTCAGATTGTGCTGATGGACAATAGTCTATTGCTTTTTTTCAATATTTCAGTCACCATCTTCCCACTTTAAGTTTACCTCTATCATCACATGAATGACAAAGGTAGATTTCAGTGGGGCTCTCTAGACAATTATCAGGCAAAAGTCTGTGATAGACTACCAATATGCCACTGCCAACAGTATAATTTTCTCTACTGTACCAATACGAAATGCTCCATTATTAAACATTTATAATGTATGTTCTCAGATATTCCACTGCCTTGTTACTTGTTCCTTTTGGTGTTTAATGATGTCTGTTTCATGCCATAGACACTTTCTGTAAAATACAATAATCCAGACATTCATTCAGACTCTCACAGTTTTTGGTAGGCTATTCTCACACCATGCATTCTTGGCCACCTGGGCACACTGCTGGCTCATGTTCAGCCACTGTCAACCAACACACCCAGGTCCTTTTCTACTGTGCAGCTTTCCAGACTTTCTTCCCCCAGTCTGTAGTGCTTCATGGAGTTGTTGTGACCCAAGTGAAAGACCTGGCATTTTGCCTTGTTGAACCTCATACAATTGGCCTTGACCCATCAATCCAGGCTTTCCAATAGAGCCTTCCTACCCTTCAGCAGATCAGTTCAGTGTCCCTGCAAGCTGACTGAGAGTGCACTCGATCCCCTCATCCAGATCATTGATAAAGATATTAATCAGGGCTGGCCCAAATACCTCAGAGGCCTGGGTAACAACACTAGTGACTGGCTGCCAGCTGGATGTAACTCCACTCACCACCACTCTTGGGGCCTGGCCATCCAGACAGTTTTACACACAATGAAGAGTACATCCATCTAAACCCCTAGCAGCAAGTTTCTCCTGAAGAATGCTGTGGGAAATGGTGTCAAAGGCTTTACTAAAGTCCAGGTAGACAACATCCGTGTCCATTCCTCATCCAAGGTCTAGTAATTCTAAGACTTCTCCCAGCTGCTTACAGAATACTTTGTCTGCTTCTTCATCCTGGTTAGGTTGGTCTGTAACAGACTCCCACCAGGATATCTACCCTCTTGTCCTTACCCCTGATTCTTACTCATAAATGAAGAATTGTTCAGTTTTTGGAAAACAGTAGTGTCAGTCTCTTCCAGAATGTATTTTAAAATGAAGATTGCAATGTATGCATTCAACTTAACAGACTGAATAGATAACCTAGCACATCAACAGATGATTGCTAAATTCTCATCACAGTAACATACTCTCAGGACTGGAAAGCAAAAATTCAAGCACCTGTCCCTACCTGGATGACTGGAACATCATGGGACCATGGATTTGTGCAGCAAGCAGTGGTTTAAGAAGTTAGTAACTTCCAGATACCTATTATTCCCTCCCTCATTGCCTTCTTTCTCCCCCACATATGGACACGACTGCCTTCACACATCAAGTGCGTGCCCTTCTAATCCGTTTTAGTAGAGCTACTTTTTGATGCTTAAACTACTCAAGAGTCATCTCAAAACCATCTCACAGATGGGAGGGGGGAAGAGATGAGACAAATTTTAGTATGATTACACCTACAAAAGCCTGTCAGACTGCAGCCTTGTATGTCAGCATCACCGAGTACAGTGCCACTGAATTTTTAGACAGCAAGATAAATTTGTACCTCCAGTGACCATCAAGCAAGCTCATTTAAATATTTCTCACTATCCTTACCCAAAAGCATTTCCTTGGAATGGAAATAATTGACCAAAGACACTTCGTTCTGTCTATCCAAATTATCCTTATGCACAGAATACAAGTTTCCATCGATTGAGAGGTGACACTTTAACTAATAACCTTTACCTCACTCCCAGAAATTAAGTGTGTGCTTTGAAACTGCAGTAATTTTCTCACTCTCCTGGAAAGTTCTCCCTTGGAAATGTGGTACTATAGAAATAATGTGATGCGCATCAAACAATTTCTTCTGCTTTTTGAGTATTTCAGTATGTCTGGAAATTTAATATAATCAGGGTAGATGTGGTTAACACTGTACCTTCTACCTAACAAATGTTACTTTGGCTGGAGTCTGAGCTGGAAACTTAGGTTTGCACAAACCCCAGATTTGTCTGAATATAAGCAGGTGCTTAATGATACCTGGACCTCCATGTGAGTTTTCTTGGCACTCTATACTTTTATGTCTGCTGTTAAACTCAGAGCCAGGGCCCAACCCTGAACCTGGAGGCCAAGTGACATGCATCCTGCACCCAGCTGGTGGCCTGTCTACAGCTGATTTCTCTTAGGGAGAGCTGGTGAGAGCACGGAGGACATAGCCAGGGAATGTATTACCACCTAAACAGTGCAGTTGGTGCCCAGGGCTCAGGCTGAGCTCCTGGAGCCCCTTTGCTTGCCAATTCAGCCTTAGCAGGACTGATCTGAAGTCAGGATGGGCTGTGAAGGTTTGAGTCCCCCAGTCCATCTGCACAAGACTGGTGGCCTCAACTGGAAGCTGTTCCTCA